CTGTATATATATATATAAATATATTATAAAATCTTTTTATAATTATTCTTTTCTATAACTATACTTCATAATTGAGCAGAGTTAGAGAAAAAAAACCAGTAATGAAGCCAATAATAATAAAAAATGTTGCAAGTGTCATTTTTATAAATAATGTTAATGATGTACGTACAGAATAAATCTTCATATTTTTTTCAATAAATAAATGTTATTTAAGAGATTTTTCATATTTTTTGTTTCTTTCCGATTACTAGTGTCTTTATCTTATTTCGTAAAATTTTTGTTTTTGAAGTTTAATGCTGTCAATAAGTAAATCTTATATCGAAGATTAGGGGTTCATGGAGTACAATAATTTTCTTCGTAGATACTCACGTTGCCCATAAACCTGCTGCAATGCAGGTGCGTAAACGTATGCCATGGTGTACAAATAAAAATTAAGGAGACCGTAAAGAGCCATAAACTGCGCGGATGTGCGGTAATAAGTGGAGAGGCGAGAAGCGAAGCTATCTTCTAATACACCGGCTCCGAATTGACGTGCAGTGACCAAACTGCAGACGCCGGCGACCACCGCAGCAAGCAATGTCAAAAATCGCAGACGTAAATCTGCAAAACGAATCGTACGCTCAAGTAATTATAGATTATTCGAAGATATAATAGATCAATTTATGATTGAGAGGATTCTGTATATAAAGAATGTAAAAACGAATATGATAAATGTCTTTCGTTCTGCTTCGTTTAAAATAAATAAATAGACGCGCGGATATAGTTCAGTATAAGATTTTTTTTTATAAAAATGTCATCTACTGCCCCCCCCAATTTTGAAATATTATTTATATATCTATATAAACAGGATGTCCCAAAATTCGTGAATTAAAATACCACAGCAAGACAGTTCTCGAAAAAATAAAACAAAAATATTCGTCATGTGTCGGTCCGAACAGTTTTTGAGACATATATATTGGTTTAAAATTGGCTAATTATAGATTACAATTACATTTAAATTCCGCAAATCGCACGTCTATAATATTAGTGATTAGTGATCGTATACTTTACGTGCTCATAAACATTAGACAAAAGAATGGCTGCATTCAGCACAAAAAGCAGCTTTGCGACTACTGTAAGATTCTCTAATATGATTGGTTCTTACTCTTAATTTCTTGCTGGAATTAAGTGTATAACCGTAAGAATATATAATAAGAATCTTCAACAGTTGCTTTTTCAGCTGTACGCAAATATTGTGTGTACCGCCCAAATAATACCGTGTGTTCCATTAGACACGTAATAATTAAGAAATATGTTTACCGAAGTATGGCATAGATCGTAGTTCGCTGTATGCCCTTAATATAAGAAGCAACAGATACGCGATGTAGAAACCACCCACCGTGAAGAAGAATACCTTGAAGCCCTGGAAAAAGAAGTATGTGTTAAGAAGTACAGATTTAACGCATCTTTTATATATCTTTTTCATTATAAGTGATCGTACATCGATCGTTTCTCTATCGCGATCACATCTTTTTGTCGCTCTTCTTCGATAGAGACTAGTTTCGATCTCTATACCACTTTCAATACGATGCCAAATAAAGATCAAGAACCGGTAATCTTGAAGTATAACATGAGAACTACTGACCGTTGAGAAATTATCTATATCAGTATCGAATTGCGATCGAATCTGCGCGTGCAAGAAGAAAAGAGTAGCAAGTGCAACAAACATACGGAAACAATAAGCGTTCGATAACAGTTACAGTAAAATTATCTTTGGCTTATCCATCTATGAACATGAGGCAATTCAGTGAGTATTTATCCTTAACTCTTTTTCAATCTTTTTTTTTTTTTTTGAGGAAACAATAGTACGAATTAATAAAGATATTTTAAGCCAGTAAATTTTTTAATCTTAATATATAAAAGTTAATAGAAATAAAATGTATATTATAATTGTGCATTTATAGACATATATATATTTCAAATTTATGTTTTAAGTAAATATAAAATTTTCATTAAAAAATAAAAATATCATGTTCAGTAAACATATATGTATGTTTTCTTTTCTTCCGCATAGATTTATAAAAAGATATTAAAGTAAAATAGCGAAATATTTTACATTCAGTAATTACTCTGAATTTCTTTTCTTTCTCAAAATGAAGAGAACAACTTATATTACTTCTTTGCTTAAATGTGCGTTTGATTAACAAGTTGAATCATTTGTATCAACAAATAAACAGCTATTTACTCAATTAGCGATCGGCATCATTATTGTACTACAAGCTTCGCTAAAGATCAGCGGATTGTACACGATCGTCGAATGTCCGATGGAATTACAAAAAGACATTAAGAAATACAGCGAGTCAAAGCCACTGCAAGTAAGCTGCACAATGCAACTTTTGTGTCCGCCGAAAGATTCGACAAATCACGAGAATCGTAATCGAGGTTATCAGGTGCATGAAAATGATCCTGACGCCAGGACGTTATGCGAAGTGAAACTCAAGATCAATGTCATAAGAAGCATAAGCACAACTAAAATGGAAGAGAAAAATCTGTGCTCTGATTTCCCGTATGACGAACATCTAATATTGCTACCTCATTCAACTAACTGTAGCTTGGTAAGTTTCTTCGCGGAAAAGAACCAAATGAATTGTAAGAAATCGATTGTGACTGTTTCATTTTTGATTATACTATCGCTCTTAATATCTTTTATAAATTTATTTCTTTCCTTTTGATTATATAGACTGTAGATTTATCTGCGACGTTCTGACAAGGGACCATCTCGGTTTGTACAACAAGTTAATGAAAATCTTTGATATCAGTAAAAGTTGACAGCATAAGATATAAATTAAGGAAAAAGGCAAGAGCGTATAGGTTGTAGGTTCCAAGAAATTTAGTGTTATAGTACATGGTAAAAGTTCTAAGATGACTAATATCTCAAAAAATAAACAATAAGAATTTTACTGGACCATACATTTGAAAATTTAACAATAAGAAGCGGAAGTAATGGCCGTAACCGTCAAAACTAAATCTTTAAATATTTAAATAATTCAATCTGTATTATTATATATACTATATATATATATTTTTTTTTACCGTTTACGACCATTACTTTCACTTCTTATTGAATTTTCAAATGTACGGTCCAGTAAAATTCTTATTATTGAGATATTAGCCATTCTAGAACTTTTACCATGCACTATAACATTAAATTTCTTGGAATCTACGATCTATACGCTCTTGCTTTTTTCCTTAATTTACATCTTATGTCGACTTTTACTGATATCAAAGATTTTCATTAACTTGTTACAACAATTGTACAAACCGAGATGGTCCCTTGTGAGTATTGGCTTCCCTCGTATATAAAAAACATAATTTTATAATTTCAGTTCTATAAATGCGACTGGGGCAAGCCAATGCTCTTTAGGTGTCCAGAAGGAATGCATTTCAACTCCGATCTCCAGGTGTGCACCTGGCCCTGGCAAGGCGGTTGTAACTCATCCGAGATTATTTGCCCACGACCGTTTCCACGATGTCCAATTCATTATTCGGATCCGTTGTTATTGCCACATCCCTTTTTGTGTGATCGATTCTATCAGTGTAATTGGGGAATGCTTCGATTGCAGATGTGTCCCACCGGATTACACTTTGACCCACATCTTAAGGTATGTAACTGGCCTTACAATTCGAATTGTCAGAGTTGTTGAGATCATAAGGAAAAATATTGATTTATAAATTAATCCTTGAAGTTTTAAAAATGAAAAAAATTTGACTATGACTTACTATATGTGTTTGTCAAAAAAGAATGAAAGAATTAAGAAGGCATTTTTATACACTAACATAATAGACGTTAGTATATATTTAGTAATATTATATATTGTAATGATCTATAAATGAATTAATATTCTATTGTAATAATTTATATTAATAAGCGCGTTCAACTTACGTAATAATTCGATGTATCAAGAACATAATTATAAGTGGGATCTTCCAATTCGGTGCAACGGAGCCACGTAGCGAGAGTCAATGCCGCACCCCATAACATACCAACCACTAAGAGCTTTGGCAAATAAAACGTGATGAGCCGTCTCTCGTTCTAAACAAATAAATTAATTGTGGAACTATAAGATAACAGAATATAAGACATAACATATGCAATTTAAAATAAAATATATTAATATTAAAAATAAAAAGCATATTCTCTTATTTTATTTCTTTAATAAAAATGTAATTTTAAATGTTAATATTCTATTAGTAACAAATAAATAATGTATAATGAATTAATCAACTAATTTTCTATCATTATGATCTTGTACATTAGAATTATCAATCAATATTTCTCAATTTTTGACGATATCAGTACCTGTCTAAGGCCATGATAGACACAAAGCCAGAACATAAGAATAGCGCACAAGAAAGTTGTTTGCAGGATTGCATCCAGCATTCCGGGTACCCAGGAATTTACCAAGAACGTCATAGGAAATAGTGGATCTGTTCAATATAAATTCAATAAAACGTCGACAATCACATGTATACTAATAAAAAAAAGTCGGAATCTGGAGAACTTACTATTGTACAGAATCAGTAATGGAAGAAGTATAGAGATCCATTTTTGCTCTATCGACCAATCGTGTAGTGGATACTTTCTAAGCGAATGGCCGAACCAGCACTGAAAGCGATACATTTTTCGAAATCCATTTTACGAAATTTCCGGTCATCGAAATCGCAGAAATTAGGAGTAGTTAATTAAGCAAAATATATTTATTGTATTCAATTTGTTACTCGAAATCGACACGATACAATGAGCTAAACTTTTTTATGTTTTATAATATTTACTCCCAAAATAATATAATAGAAAGATAAAATTACGCATCGTTTTAAAACTAATCTTTAATTTCGATTAATCATCTAATTGTCTGTTCAATTTTGCAGAAACGAAAAATCTTTGACTCGTTTTAATCTATCTTTTACATCATTATCATAGCGGTCATTACCATTACTCCAAACGTGGTCAACAAGAAGATCAGTCGGAACCAGATTTCTATTTGTGTAAATGCTGGATTGTAGTTCTTAAACTGTGAACAGAAGAAAATAGGAGTAACATAAAGAAAAGATCGAAGCACTCGAATCTCGGAATTGTTGTATCCAAACGAATGTGATCATTTCATGCAGTGCTTACTGACGTAGAATGTGAGTTCTCGTATCGTGTATCGTTGATGGAAACTCTCGAGTCCATGAAAGCGGACAGTAATTATATAGTAGCTATAATCGAGGAATCCTAGGTGGGCGACAACCAGTTCCTCGCAGGATTGCCTTTCACACTTCAAATGTCTGGTTCTAGAAAACAATAGCAGTCGTCATTTCATATATTATTACTCGATCACGAGAGATCTATCTACATTAATTTATGCATTTCACTCAATAATGTAATACAAACTCCATTTTTTTAATTCTCTAATATAAAACTCCAGTTTTTATTCATTGTGTGTTATTAAAGCAAATAAATGTATAGTTAAAGTATAAAGAATCTTTTTTATTAATTACAATCTCGTTTCATGCTTCAAATTTAATTACAATTTCGAGAACGCAATTTTTATTGCATCTTTACCGATTATGTCCAGCCTCCGGAGGTAGTACGGATACGAGCTTGCGATCAGCAGTGATACCATCTATGGAGACGCTAACTTGAAATCCTTTATCGTACCTCTCATCTACAAATTATCACACGTAATTAATATTCAAGAATAATAAAACTGTAAAATATAGGTAGAATAAATATAAATAAAATAAATGATGATCTAAAATAAATTAAAATACAGATATATGTATATCTGGATTTTTGTTATCTCAATCGTAGCCCTAAGGACTTTAATATTAAAAAATTGAGAAATTTATCTCTTTAATCTATTTTATTTTTTACTGAATACATTTATATAAAAGGAAAGGTTATTTTTAAATTGGCACCGAATGATCGATCATCATAACATCTAAATAAAGAAATAAATATGCTGTTGTCTAACAAACTTTACGTTCCATAAATGCTTCTCTCTATTAGTTCAAATGATCAGAAATTACACGGTACCATCGTTATTCGATGTCGATAGCTTGGCAATCACCCATAATTGCTGGCTATACGTGGACAATAAAGGTGTCTTCATGATGAATGGACCAGTGGCCATCTCGCTACCGTTCAAATGCGCTTTCTGTTCGCTAGTCGACGTTATAGGCGGTCCTTTAAAAACATTAATACAACGATATCTCTCAGTATATTTGATGAGGTTAATGATAGTAGTGCTGTCGATTTTTTTTTATTTCGAAGTAAGCGGCAAATTATTGCGGTGATACTTACCGGCGAGGCCGATAAAAATTGCCAATCCGAAACACACAAAAAAGGCAACAAATACCATGACAAATTCCCTTTTATGCATCGAGTACAAACGCATCTGCACGGATCTATGGGCCAAATGTACGACAGTTTAAATTAACAATATACTGATGCATGCAAATTGTTATTATGTGTATACAAATTCACACAAATTAACAGTGAACATATTTATTATTTATTTTTTTATTTATTTAATAATAAAAAGAGGTCATGTTCTATCTTTTATATATACAGAGTGTTTTTTAAAATAGCGAACACTAATCATATAGCGCTATTAATAACAAGTAATTACCGAATCACGTGCTATATATTCCTGATTAAAAATTAATTTGAAAAGTCCTTTACCATTTTGCAACTCATAATAGTTAATTGATTGGGCAGTCAGATATGTGCTTATTCGACAATCTTTAGAAACTAATATTTCGTCAATCATTGCGAAAATTGCAAAATTGTAGAAGACTTTTCGACTCAATTTTTAATCAAGAATAAGGCTACATGAGTAGTGATTTAAGAAACACTATAAATACAAATGTTATAAAATTATCAGATCATTGTAAAAAGTCTGTTCACTTTTTTCCTATAATTCCTTTATACTCGTTTATTAATAGAAGAGAAAAGGATTGGATTAGAATTGAGATACTTTCAGCAAAGTATTATTTAATGAAGCAGCTTTTGTGTCGTAGTTTTTTCCCAGTGAGAAATGACAATGGAATCGATGTCGATTCGACGTCCAAATCCTCGAATTGACGTCGAATCGATGTCAATTCGACATCGATTCCATTGTTATTTCTCACTGGGTTATTATTACTGAATCTCCGTTTCTTAAACGATCTTCCAGAGAGATCACGTACCTTTCGCAGCGGTCATGATGATAAGCCGGCGCAATGTATTTGTTAAATTCACTAAAAAGGTCACTAAACTGCGACAATGCATTTCTGACTTTGAGGTTCCAACCAGCAGATGGAAGATGATACGAGTATCCTAATCCAGGTCCGTCCATTCTTTAAGAATATTTTTTCCTATACTTTAATATACCATATGATTTCTTTTATTTCACAGCTAAAAAATTCAATAATTACAACATACGTGATATGACTTGATTTTTACATATTTTACATATTTCTGTCATTAATATACATATATATTATATATCATTAATATATATATTTTTCACTTTAATCTTTTTAAAGCACAAATATATTTTATAAGGGGTCGTCCAGGGTTGGCAAATATTACTTTTCAGTTACTGTGTCGTTACTTTTTATAGTAAATAATTTGATGACGCGATCGTGAAAATATTTAAAAAGAAAAAAATACAAAGATTTACAATTTGTATATATCTATGAGCGTGTTAATTATTATACAGTTTCCTTTTTAAAAAAAATTTTACTTACATCGAGAATATTTGACTTTATGAACATAAATGACTTAAATAAATAAAACTAAAATATCTTTTTACTTCGAAGCTCTTTATAAAAAAAGAGGGTAAATTTTAGCCGCGTTCAGCAGAGAAAGCAGTAACTGTTATAAAATTCTTTCATATGTTTTAATTTATACATTTATAGATCCAGTAAGGAACTGAGCAAGATTAATATTAAAGAATTTTACAACAATTGCAAAGTTGCTTTTTCTGCTGAACACAGCCATTATTCCATCTAATTTGTTCGCGCAATATTAAAACAAGAAAACAATTCAGTAAAAAGAAGATATATGTTACTTTAATATTTTAGATACGAGAAATACCCATTTTTAAATCAAGAATTTTTTCATTATCATTATTTATTAAAATAACGAAATATACTTCATAAACGCTGAATTTGCGACGTGTACGATGTGTGCTTGTAAACGGGAAACTTACCTTCCACTTTATTGCGTGTAATGGACACTACTTCTACCTGCAGTCTTGAAGAAAATACTTGGCGTTTGCATAACGCATACAATTCACGAGCGATTTCATGGGTGGGATGCTGTATCCGGCATGGGAGACGGTGAGAAGGATTCTAGGCGATACGTTCGTTTCGCGTTTTCAATCGGAGCTGAAATATGGGAGTGACTGCACAAGCGTACTGCGTACGATGGACCGACGTTAGCTCTATTGATTTTTCATGTCACCTCCCGCGGAACAAGGTTGCTAACTTGGTATTGAAGACGGTTGGAGACAAGCAAAATATATATATATATATATTAAATAATGGTAGGTATATTCGTGTAACCAGATAACAGGATTTAATATTGCGCGTTATACATGCCGTCGCAATAAATTGTCATATAGCAATGAGTTTTTTACTAAAATAATTAAGCTTACAAGGGAAATTTGACAATTGTCCGGAACTGATTTAATTCTCCATGAAATATATTGTTAAACACGAAAATCTAAGAGACATGTATTTTTTTATACGTGCGCTAACTCGTAAAACACTCCTTAAATACGAGTTAGCACACGTATACACGTAAAAAATACATGTCTCTTAGATTTTCGTGTTTAACAATATATTTCATGGAGAATTAAATCGGTTCCGGACAGTTGTGAAACTTCCCTTGTTAGTTACGTATATTGGATTAGGGAAAAAATCCCTTTACAAGTTGGTAAAGACTTTTTTTAGCAACTCATATATTCTATTTTTTAAAAATTGGCAATTACACCACTTGATAGAGCAACGTTTTAGCTTTAAGAATATGTATTTTTAATTGCGATACGATGATTTTTAACGGAGTTACGAGCGCAATAAAGTCTGAATGTTCCTTTTTACTTAATTCGCGAGTAACTCAGGAACAAAAAA